CTGCTCCACCGCTGCAGCTCACCGCTGCAAGGAGTCAGGGTAGAGCCATGACCCGCTGCCTCTGAAGCATGCAGGCTGCAGATCGTGGCTCTGCCATGGTTCTGGATCACATCACCGATGCAAGATCCCCGCCTGACTCTGGAGCAGCTCTGCACCCTGCCAGTGCTGCTGGGGCCATTCTCCATGGAAACCCTGGCCTTGTGCTATCAGCGCAGCTGCTGCTGGGGTCTCCATGAAAACTGGTCCTAGCCACGCGGGCAGGGGCTGCTGGGAAATGGACTCTGGCCACTGGCCAGAGCTGCCATTTTGCCCACCCCTGTTCTACATACAGAACACCTATAGAATTAGGCTTTCAGGGCCAAAATAGCTCCCATCTCCATACCTATAGGAGCCCCCAAGCTGCAAGCCAAAGAGCTGAATAGTTCCATTAGCAGAGGGCAGTGAGGGTGGCTTTGAGCTGGATTCATGCCTGCTACTGCCTACAGAACAAAGTGTAAGGGGTGGGGATGGATGCAGGATCTACTATTGCACAGAGCTTGGGTCCAATATGTTGGAATCTGTGAGGATCATTTTAGCCCTTGGATTCAAATAGTTTTGTGCCTACAGCTCCTCCATAGCCTGCAAGTGGGAGGACTTTTTCATTATATGATACAAATGTAATATGTTCAAAATAACTTTATTATCATGCAATTTTATTTTATTTTTTGCTATCTTTAAAAGTGTCCATCGGATGGACACTGGGCTGTCATGGGTGGAGCATGAATGGCAAATACTTCCTAGGGGGGTTGATGGAGTACTCATACAGAGCCTGCCACCGTCTTGTAACAGTTTTGCCATTCAGTGGGTTAGGAACGAACCGTTAGAAATGGAATTACTTTTTGTGGCAGTTCAGTTTGTTTGCACCGGTGCTTGTGACAAGAGGACGCTGCAGATAATATGAACGGGAATCTCTCTCTCTCTCTCTGGACACACACAAACTCACACATCTCCTGCCGAAGAACAAACACATTCATGTCCTGATAAAAACAGCATCACCCCCTCTCTCTTCTCTATGCTAGGAAGTACCACGTACCAACTTTCTGCCCGGCAGCAAACTGACTGTCTCAACACCCACAGGCACACACCCACTACAATACTGTTTATGGATGAGCTTGTCTTTCATCTCAAAGTAAATATGTAGATTGGGACTCAAGCCCTAATCCACTGAAGAGCCTATTCTTATAACAGAACCTACCAGCAATTTTAGTTACATTCTCTGAAATGAAGAAAAAAAATGTTACCGGGTATGCACCAAAAATTACAAAAATATTCCTTTCAAAGTACCTGAAAGCAAGTCAGTAGTCCAGAAAGTTTAAATAGAGGACTGTCATAAAATCTGTGAATTGAAAAGTGCCATAGAAATTGATTTTAGCTAATGGTCCACCTTTAGCTTCTCATGTCCTAAAATAGGACACCGATTACTTTGTTTCATAAGAAGGCACCCAAGTTCTTGACCTTAAGTCTTTTTAAAGAAATGCACCAAGGCAGCAGACCTGTCCTATCTTTTGAATGAGGACATCTATAAATAAAACAATCAATATTTCCACATAGAGATTATTAAGTGATTAAAGGTCCCAAGGCCCCATAACAAGTTGCGAGCCAAATTAAACACAGAGAAACACATCAGGACAAATGTTCCCAAACACTAGCAACACTAAGCAACAAGCTAGACCAGAAACAAAGGTGAAAAAGCCCCAAGGGAGACTGTCCGAGTCAGGAGTACAGGCTCTGCCTCAGAGACTCGTGATTGAGGGAACATGGACCGTACGAGGCATACCACGGGTCTCCCACGCTTTCCTCCCAAGAACATCTAGTGCTGTGACCTTCAGTGGCTACAGCTATATTCTGCTCTCAGAGGGAGCATTCCTCCTGAATCAGTTCATAAGTTTTATTTAGGACCAGTTGAAGCCCTTGACATTAAGTGGTTCATAATGGTCTTTCTCAAGTACATGCTACACTATTATCTTGTACTAATGGATCTCCAAAATGTTCACTTTTAGCCCATTAGCCTTAACCACAAAACTTGGATATTGCTCTAAATTTGTGGAACATAACTTAGTATCAGACTGAGAGGGCAGTGCTGTCGGACCTGGTAGTTTGATCCTGAGCCTCGTGATATTTGGTGTCTGTCTGAAAGCCCAGTCATGGGAATCGGAAGATTTGCATGAGATATTAAAAAAGTAACTTCCATGGTTATGAAGGAAAGCTCAAAGACATGACTTGAGCGCAGCCTCTGGGATAAGAAAACAAATGGCAAATAAAAGAATCCTCAAAAGTAATATTAAATAGAGCTATGGTTTTTTTTTTTTGAAGGCCAGCTCATGATTTTTTATTTTTTTTTAGGGCCTGATTCATGATTTTTGAATGTCTGCAGGTAGCAATTCTGAAAGGGCTAGATAAAAAAAATGTCCAATTCTGATTGCTCAGGGATCAAAATGTTTTCCCCCTCAGAATCTCATTCAATTAACTCTGCTTGAAATAATAGTTTAAAGAGGAGAATTATTCCATGAAGATGACACATTGGCATTTGAAATGTGATGAATATAGTGCCTGTAAAAAGTGCAATAATCCTTAATAACTAACCCAAAAGAAGCATCATCCCCAGGGATAAGAAGGTAATTCACTCTCCATTTTTAATTTACTTCTAAGCCGCTTTTGAAACAAGGCCGCTAAATAATAAGTTGGCTTGTGATCCTAGGCTTGACTGCTGGACTTATTATAATCGTGCCATTGATTCAGCATACATTTCAATCTAAGTCATGGGATGCACAATCAGGTGGGCTAAGTCTTTAAGCTGTCTAGGCAAAAGATTTGCGAATATATAGGGTACATTTTGAGATAGGAGTCTATTTACTACTAGCAATAGGGAAATATAATATACTGACTGTAGCTAACTCTTTGACCAGTCTTGTCTCTGAAGATTGTATTTCAAGACGTATCCATCCTTCATAAGTTCATGGTGGTCTAGGGTTTCAGTCTACATTAAACTAACAAAGGAGGATAATGCACCTAATTAGACAGAACAATCAGTCGATCCAACTGGCCAGGCCTCGCAAAGAGAATGGAAAACTTAGGTCACCACCAGACCATCAATACTTCAGTCGAGTTCTCAGAAACAACCAGACTAATCTATTGTAAAAGTGCAGTGTTTTTCTGAAATTCCCCTTCTTTGAAACAGATGAATAGCTCTTGCTATCATGGCTTTTTTTTTCATTAGCAAAAGGGGCCAGAATCAGTGTGATAAATGCTATTGGATTCATGTTTCAGTCATGTTACTGAAACCCTCAAAAAACAGATAAGGGTACATTGACTACTGTAAGAACAGGGACAGTCGGGTCATCCAGAAAGTGCATGTTCTGGAAATGTCTTCACAGACTGCCCTAGCAGAATGATTTATCTAATGATGTATTTCTCATTTTGGCCTCACTGACAAGACCTAGTTGTGGGAAAGAAACTGAGTTACAGAATTTTTAAAAGATACTTATTAATAGGAGCTAATATACAATGGGTCTAGGCCTGATCATTAAAACTGTTCTTATTGCAAATATGCAAGACCTGCTTTAAAAACTGTAATAGGCTGAACCTTTTAAATGCAAATTTGTTCTATTTATCTGGTCACAACCCAGTGAGTGGAATCCAATAACTCACTAGATTAAAGGATATAAAGGATTATATATCAGAAGGTAATTACAATTAACTAATGTCTGGATGGTATTTAATACACATATTGGGTTATTTCAGTGAGATGTGACATAGGATGATATTTACATTGCCATTTCTTTTTGCTTATATGAATGAAATTTACAGCTTGGTAAGGTATGCAGGCATTACATCAAAAATGATAGGAGACCATTTAAAGTCTTGTGAATTATTGATATAAATTCATTTTGTTTTATTTCATGCACCATTGCTTCTTGCAGTGTCGCCACAAGAACAGTGCAGTTTATAAAGAAAAAAAAAAGAGAGTGAATGAAATGGTTTAATTTATTCACGATTGCTTTAAAATGCTATTGGAATTGTCTCATGATTATGCGTGCACTAAAGGAATTTTCCAAAATATAACAGCATGGGTAAACAGTAAAAGAGCTTAAAAAAAGGGGCAATTTGGAGAACTGGTAGACTGAAGTACTTATTAAGCATATGCTATGCTGCTTTTGGGTAAATCTCATGATTTTCCTTAATTTTTTTATTGTTTTCAAGAAAGCAAGGTAACACTGGGTGTGTCTATACGTGCATTTACACTGGCTTAAATTTACTGTGCAGTAAGTGGGAACAGGCTGGCATATACATGTGCAGGCGTTAAAGTGCATTAACGCTGTGTGTGGTCTGACTAGGGATTAAAGTTAGTCCCAAGTTAGTCCACACACATAGTGTTACTGCGCAGTAAGGCATCTACACGTGCATTACCGTGCAGTAACTAATCGGATGTAAATTTGATGCTGGTGTAATTTGATCGGATGTAAATTTGATGCATGATGCAGGTATCAAATTTGTCCTCAAGTCGGTGTAAATCACCATATTTACTGTGCAGTATAGGCGTGCACATATAGATGCGTGCCCATACTGTGCAGTAATTTTGGTTGCTGCGCAGTAAATGCGCACGTGTAGACATACTCACTGTCTGCTTCTAATGCTCTGAAATCAACCAAGCTGGTGTAAATTAATGCCACACAGCATTAGAAATGCCTCAACAATAGCCAGTTAGGTAAGTTTCTAGTGAATCTCATCTAGAGTCTACAATACACTTATTAATGCATTTTACATACAATATCAACGTTTAGAGTGTAGCGCTCCTGTTAAAATGTGCTTTTGCTGAGTCACTATGCAAGAGGAGATTGTTTTGCCAAGGAAAGTATGGGATGAACATTTGTTTGAGATCAAACAGTAGAATGGAAAGAAAAGTCACAGATTTAGTATATGGATGGTGACAGAGACTATGAAATCTAATGCTTGAAATTGCTTAAAAACTGCATTCTGCTGCCTACTTAAGCCAACAATAAAGTTAGAATGAAATATCAAAACCTCCTTGCATAGAGTGGCGTCTTTCTTTAGCGAGGCATTGTTCCAATCTGTTACCTCCTAACACCTTTGGTGATCTTACACTAATTTCTTACCTGTAAGAAGTTTAAAGTTATTTTTTAGAGACCAGGCCTACAGATAGTATGACATTTTAGCAGTGAACTGTGTCAGGTAACGAACTAACCAGTGTACAGCTTGGTCCAAGTTCGGAGGACAATTTTGAGTAAATAGCTATAACTTCTACCAATTTGTATCAGAAGGGGTTTTTTGTATATACCCTAAAATGTTTAAGACGTTTTGTACTATTTCTCAGGAATCCATATCTTCTCAAAGTGCTTTTTTGTTTTCACTTGAAGGCAGTGTGGACTTAAAACAATACTGCAGGGGATGTACCATTCCATAAAGCACATAAGGATGGCAGGATCCAGGAGACGCAAGGCATAGAAAACTGTTGAAAATGATTAGATGGTACAACATATACTGCTCTTCAGTCATAAGTTCCATTTATGATGACTTCTACTTCCAATAGATAGGATATCAAAAAAGGCAATAAAAATGAAGTTACATGAATAAAGTTCCAGAAATGAGTGGAGTTCCACCAGTGATCGTCTGTGCGCTGGTAGAGGTAGAACGATGGGGATGTTATGAGTCGGGCGGCAGTCACTACAACAAGTGCGCCTCAGTGCGGAGCCAGTGAAGTCCTTGTCGAACATAACGCACCAGGTTGGTCATACTGCTGTGCTGCGTTAACGGTCCCATCACTGAGTCCAGGTCTACAAAGAATTCTGCAACACAGGAAAGGGGAGTCATTGTTTTGGGTAACCGTGCAAAAATACGTTAACCACATCCTGGCTACCAAGCTATTAGTGAGCTCTTTAAAGCGCATAACTCTGAGTGTGCAATTTCAAGAGCAACTCTTAAATTACCACCCTCTACAGACGTAAAAGCCAGAAAAGACTGTTATGGTCACCTAGTCTGACCTCCTGCATAGTATAAAAAAGCTCCTCCAATAATGCCAGGGTAAAGCCCACTGCTTCTGTTTAAGCATTAATAAATATTTTAGAAAGATGACCAGTCTTGTCTTGGAGACTGCAAATACTAGAGATTCTACCATGTTGCTAGGTAAGTTATTCCAGTGGTGAATTATTCTCACTGTTAAATGATATACATCTAGTAACCCATCATGCAAACTCTTCCACAGTCCATATGGACAGACACTGGACTAAGTGGAATAATCCAAAAAAAAAAAAAAAAAGACTTGGTTTTAGAACGCCATAGGGCATGTGTAGACGAAATGAGGGGCATGTGTGTATGACATTTCAAAGTGGGTTAAATGCTTTTGCACTGCTTTAATGGTGATGGTGTTGTCATGCGTTAGCAGCATATTGCGCATTAAATCTAGCCGCTGTAGCACATTTGGTGGCATAATGCGCCTTAAATGACTTTGGGATGCAGCAAACTAAAACACCTCCAAGGAGTTTTAGTTTGCTGCCCTACAGCCGTGGAGCGAAGCACCGGGCTCTGTCCAGCTCAGGGCCTGTGCAGGCCGCCCATGCAGGCAGCCTGGCAGCAACCCGGGAAGGCAGGCTCCACTGAAGGAGAAAAAAAAAAAAAGTGGTGAGCCTGATTTCTGCCCCGGCCTGGAGGCTGTCTGCTTGCACAAGTTGTGCGGGGACCTAGTCCTTCCCTCTGTGGCTGCAGTGCCACCTGGGACGGCCCGAGCCGGGTGCCTGGGGGGGGGGGAGGGAGGGGGCCCTGCTGCCATGAAGGGAAGCACCAGCCCCCCCCCACTGCCCAGGGACTGCTCCGCCTGCTGGGAGCTCATCCTCCCTTCCCTGCCACCGGAGAGGCAGGTAAGACACGGGTGTACACATTACGGGGGTTTACTTCACCCTAAATTGAAGTGGTGTTTTTAAAAAGCCACCACTTCAATTTAGAGTGAAGTAACCCCCCCGTTTCGTCTACACATGGCCATAGACAGTCAAATAAGAATATTGTATTTTGGCACACTAGCAATGTGTTCCCCTTGGATGTTATCACATTACAATAGTTAAGCAAAGGAAACTGAAACATGTTGTAAGCAGGCTATTATACATCACCCAGTAAATATAAACTGTGTAATAAATGCAAACGAAAACATTATATTACAAGCTACCAATTTTTGTCTTAAATATTATATAATGCAGTTGTATCTTGATTTTCTGCTGGGGCATCTCAAATATATTGTGCTCATTGCTGAAATGCAGTCACGTCTGGAGTCAGACTGTAGCACTTACTAACCAGTAACATTATATTGTTTATAAGGCAGGAGGGGAAGAACAGCCGGTGTCACTGAAACCGCGGATTGACACTTTCGACAGACAGCATGTACTGACTTAGGCTGGAAGTTCATCAGGATATTGCTACAGGTGTTTGCCAATGCTCTTGTTTTGACTCAGTTCACAAGGCAGAAAATCAAAGATTATCAGAGTCCTAGTTTGATATGTGTACAACCTAAACAGCTAGGAACGAGCAGTGATTACCATGCAGTATTGTCTCCTGGTCACTAGGGGCCACAGTTGAGGCTATAGAAGTTTCTTTTTTGGGGGGGTCACAGCACCCTTCATTGGTTCAGCTCCCCACAATTCCTGCTTCAGCAGCAGCAGAGCAAAGAACTAAGAAAGGAGAAGGTCGAGCCACAGCCACTTCTTAGATCACAGCGCCCAACCAAGGCAGCTCACCCCTCCCAGAGAAATTCAGTTACTGCAAAAGGGCGTGGAAGGACATGGGATCATGAGGAGTTGCGAGTCAACTGGAGGTTGGGTTGCAATGCCAGAACCAGGATCCATGACCAAAAGCTGTCAAGAACCAGTGCACTATATCTAAATGGCTTTGGTAATTGTGGGCCCCCAGACAAGGAAGGGCAGGGGGAGTGTGGCAGGATGAAGGCACTCAGGAGATGGGAAGAGCACACACCAACTGCTGAAGCTTCCTTAGCCTGACGAAGGGTTTTTGAACCCGAAAGCTTGCTTAATAACTATTCTCCAACCATTTGAGTTGGTCTAATAAAAGATATCAAATTCACCCAAGGAACTTTGTCTGCCTATGTCCTTAGACCAACACGGCTACAACCTAAACCCCTGGAAGGCAACAGGCAGTTTTCCAAGAAGGAGACAGGAGGACTAGACAGAGCAACACTGTGCTGAGAAAGAAGTAACAAATGTCCCACAAAGGCTGTCACTGCTCTGCTCTCCACTCATCCAAAAATGTCAAAGTGGGCTTACTGGCCATCTGTAATTGCATGCAGGAGGCCAAGATACCTCTTATCCCAAGCAAGGGGCAACAGGCAGCTTCTCTCTGTGACTTTGCAAATCCCTGGATGAAATCCTGACCCTATCAAAGTCAAAGGGAATCTGTGCATGGACTTCAGTGGGTCTGGATTTCCACCCAGTCTGTTCTGGCCTCTATTGTCTGTCTTATCGGTGAAGACCATAAGCTCTTCAAGCTTCTCTCAGTATGGGATTCTTGCCTAAGAGAATGAGATTGTGATCTCAGTAGGGAGCCACTAGTCATACAATGAGTATGTAATAATCACAATAAGATGTGGTCAAGACCTTGCGTTCTCATCTCATCTAACACAGCTACCGTCTCACCTTCGGGCCACTTAACATTGTGCTGGGGCAATGGTTCTGCTGGCTGCAGAGTCACCTCCAGTGCTTACTGCAGCATCTGAATGCTGCTTCGAGGTCTTCTGTCCAAGTACTGACCCAGGCTGACTTTGGTCAGCTTGTGAGATACGACTGTGTCACAGCATAAAGTGATATGGCTTAAGGCAAACATGAGAAAAGCTGAGGGATAGCACCAGTCATGTCAAGAAACAGCCACCAGCAGGTTCTTTAATCTTCCTTCCTATGTTTTTTTCCTCTCCCATGTGAAATCAATAGAATTAGGAGTGAAATAACCCAGCCTTGCTGGTGCTCCAGTGATTTAATTCTACGTTCCAATAAATAATAATAATTGCTTCAAACGTCAGAAACTTTACTTAAAGCCTAATTGCAGTTTCCCAGTCCAAAAACATTTATCTAGGATGCCACAAACACCGAAACAACTAATTAAACCTGTATCTGAGAGAACATTAGACTGAAATTTACTGTACTAAGCAGCCCTAAATAGATATGATGAGCTTCTACCATCTGGGGAAAAAAACTGCAAAGGATTTAAAAGGGCATATACTTAAGATTAAAAACATTTGATTCCAGAACTGTCAGCTGAGAGTTTGACAGCGCAGCTGGCAACCTGCCCTGTGAAGGACCCACCAGAAACCGGATGAGAGCTGGGGCAGAGGCTAAGTAATTCAGCTTGACAGAAAGTGTCCCTAGCATTTGCTATGGGTGTCCCCCCTTTTCTGTTTTTAAACAGGAAGAGCCCAACATGGCCTAACTCCCTCCTGATGCTGAGGATTCAATCAGGGACTCATCCAGCCGGGGCTCTGGAGCAGTGCCCTCAAGTGCAGATCCAGAAGCAGATCTAGATCAAGAGTTGCCTCTTGATCTAGAAGCAGTGCAGCCATATCTGTTTAGGCATGCTAATTGGCTCCAGTGAGTGACAGGGTAATTAGTCCCAGCACATGGACGTTGTTTCCAGTTTAATGCGGTGCATTATCTTTTTCTGCTATCCAGTACATTTTTTTCAAGATACCATTTAACAGTGTTCAAGTGCTTGCTTTACAGCTAATATTGAATTAGAAAATATGTGCCTTGGACCAGAATCGAAAGAAGGACACACTACTACAGAGTGCAGGAAAACCTGAGCTCTCTCTCGAATGGTTTCCAACACTGAAGTAAAAACAGCACTACAAGCCACTGCAAGAAGGCTGCAAACTGTGAAAAAGGGGTAAAATGCAAGAATGGGGCCTGCATTAAATCTCTTGCTCACATGAATCACCTATATGCATGCAACAAGCCCCACCAATGTCCATGTGTCTTCTTATATAAATGTGGATTACACATATCATGCTTTGTAGATCTGGGCTCATTTGAATGTAGACTAAAGGAAGAACAAAGAGTGCGGGGCAAAGAAATGCAGAATGAGACTCAGCAGCTTTTTTCTCTAACTGGCTCCGGGACTGATAACAGCACTTGCTGGGTACATATTCTGTCTTTTGGCTGGATGCCTGAGCTATTTTGATTCAATATCAAGCAGAACATTTAACAACTCCACAACACACAGAGCTAATTACAAGATTATCGCCATCTCATTCTCCTATCAGAGCACCCTTCTGCATTACCACTGCAAAATTCTGCAGTACATTTGAAAAGGAATACTTTAATGCAGTGTGACAATGGATGTGATTATGGGGAAAAAAGGAAAGCTATAACACTGTGGTTAATTTATCCAATGTGTAATAAGACTAGAGATAGTTGGGAGGCGTTTGATGTGCCATTTACAATTGCTGTCCCTGATTCAGGAACAAGCCCTCGCTAGCTAGCATTCAAATATGAAACACTCCAAAGACTTGATTTCAGTCTCACAAAAACCAGAGGAAATTTGCTATTGACTTGAATGGGAATAGGATCAGTTTGCACACGCAGCTTTATGGGATCTCATTATGATCCAGGACAAAGAACAGATCCCGAACACAACCCTGTTCAACTGAAAACAAAGGGAGCTTTGCCAATAATTTGGTAGGGGCAAGACTGAAGTTGACAGATAGCATCATCATGGAGACGGTCAATGGCTTGCAAGCAGAGAGCCAAATCTGACCTTTAATCACATCCGTTCACCTCCGTTACAGTCAATATAGACCAGCCAAGAACTGCTTGCCAACATTTCTCTGAGTCAGCCATGGCAAAAACTTATGCTATGTTGTTATGAATAAATAAATTGAATCATAAGCCGATTGCTGGCAAGCTAAGGTCACTATTTTTCCACGCCTATGTTATAATCGGTCTCACGGCATAATCGTAACATCTCACAAAATTCACCTATTACCTTAGCAAGCATTTTAATAGCCTTAAGCGGGATGACAACTGGAGTTGGAAAATAACTTCCGTACTCCACGAGAGGCTGAAACTGGGAATAAATGTGCAGACGCAAAGGCAGTCATCACTTGGGGCTCATCTTTGTTAAATTAGTTGCCAGCTGCTCTCCTAACCCACTGTTCAGTGCGCGCTACATGCCCTCCCTCTGTGCGTACTAAAAAAGAAGAGATGAGTTTTCTACACTTGCCAGCAGGTGGATTTGGAGTCTGATGGTTCATGCCGGAGAGGTTATACTCTTAGCTCAGGTGGTCCTGGGTTCAGTTCCCCCATGAAAACTAAACACGCGCACACACACGTCATTTATCAAACTCCTGAAAAGCAGAAAGTGAACAAGGCACCTTTGTTCTCTTTAGTCAGCTTGTCGGCCATGTCCCAGTGCTCGTAACTCCGCAATACGTTGTTGGTGATGTTGACGTGGCTGGCAGCCATATGGTGGGTGCGCTCGGGAGATGGTGATGGTTGCTGCTGAGGACGACCCAGCAGGGCCTGTGCTGCTCCCACCAGAACTGGCTGGGGATGGGCTGAGAGACATGGGAGATGGAGTTTCTGTGCTCCTGTAAGAACGAAAGGCAAATTACTCCCGCTCCCATATAATTTCATCTCTCTCCTGAACACACTTAAAATCAAATCTGCACCCAGTCCAGAGAAGACGTGCCGTTATGAGCTCCTGTTTTACAGGAGAGGAGAGGTTATAAACTGCGGCTGATTGAAAATAAAAAGGGATTTAATTCTCCGTACAAATGAACCTGTTATTTAAAAATATATATATATCTTTATCATAAAAATATAGCAACCTTTCAGAGAAAGAAGTATCTCATAGCTGTAATGATTTTTCTACCTGCTGCCAGAAGCTGCTATGGTAGTTAGAAAACACTCAATGTGCAATATTGGCTTATTATCAAAGCATTTTGTGGAAACCACAATGACAGTTTGCTACAAATACAGTCACCACAATAAGCAAAGTGCAATTCTTAAGAGCACCCTGCAGAGCAGTATTAGGAGCTCGGGGTACTGTAGGATTATGAATATCTCTATAGGATTCTTTAAGACTTGCTATGGAGATTTGTTTCTAATTGCCAACAGTTCATCTGCACAGTGCTTTATAAAGAGCAGTGTTTTAAGTTAGCTACTTAGTGCAGCACTAATGTTCTAATATAGATTTTCTTTTAATTCTAACACTGGCAATTAGGAATCACCTGCAGCTACAGGCAGCAAGGAGGTCACCCACTGCAATCTCACATGTTTAGAGCCGCGTGGCGCTGAATGCTCCCTCACAGCTATTCTCTTTGAAAACTGGTTTCTATGAACAAGATTAAGGGGTCCAAAACTCTCCCCTCTCGCCCCCATTTGGAACCACTTCCCTAAGCAAATGCACGGCATGGCCGCACAATGCACTTCAAAGCCAGGGCTAAACTGCTTCTGGCACCCAGAATGGAGGAAAGGTGCCAGACCCTGCGCTGGGAGAGGGGTTCACATCCTGTCCCCCCCAGGCAGGCAGCTATTGTTGCTCCAGCTGTGGGGAGTGCTATAGAGATCGCTCTGCTCATGTTCGGCCTCATTAGAGGCCAGATCCAACACTCGGGGAACTCAATGGAAAGACTCATACTGGCTTTAACAGATGCTGGATCAGTCCTCTAAAGGCA